TGTGTTGCTGGAGACCCCTGCCAGTGTGTTGCTGGAGACCTCTGCCAGTGTGTTGCTGGAGACCCCTGCCAGTGTGTTGCTGGCGACCCCTGCCAGTGTGTTGCTGGAGACCCCTGCCAGTGTGTTGCCGGAGACCCCAGCCAGTGTTGCTGGAGACCCCTGCCAGTGTGTTGCTGGAGACCCCTGCCAGTGTGTTGCTGGAGACCCCTGCCAGTGTTGCTGGAGACCCCTGCCAGTGTGTTGCCGGAGGATACAAGTAGCGTTGTGGCACCGTAACAATACAGTGGAGGACTGGTCCGTGATGTACTGTGAAAGGTGAACTCGTCGGCGTGAGGACCACAGAAGACAGACTCAGGGAGGCAAGCAAGAGTGGTGGACGAGAGAAGAGAGAAGTGGACTCGCCGGGAGGGAAGACTACAGAAGGTTCATAGTGTCGTGTGTGCAAGTGACTCCTGGTGTGTTATGTGTAGTACACATGTGTATATATTGTTAATAAGTACACTTGGTGATGGTTCGCTTTAGTGTTGTTTGCCATCTTTCCCTTTAGAGCGATTATTACTGCCAGTTGTTAATAACTTATCAATGACTCGGCTGTAACAGATATGTATATTGAGCAGCGCATGTGCGTTGCCCAGTCCTCTCCTCCATCCCTCACTCCACTGTCCCCCCGTCCTCCCACCCATTCCCCAGTCCCCCGTTCTCTCGTCTTTACCACCATTTTCCCCCTCCACATCTCCTTGTAATCCCCACCATCTCCCTCTCCCGTCACCTCGTCCTCCCCACCATTTCCCCTCCATCATGCGATGCATTCCCAAATGATCTGTTGTTCCAATCAGAAATTTGGGAACACCAAATGATCTGATGTTCCCAGCACTCAAATATAAGAAAAACTTTAAAAAAAATTAAAGATAAACTATACTCACGAAATGAATGGCATGATAAATAACCCAGCTCAATTCCAACGCAATGTCCCACAAAATAATGAAATAAAAATGAAAATAAATTGATATCTATGAAAATTCTATTCATCAATGCAATCAGAAACACTGAAAAGGAATTTTAACATATTAAGTATAGCGTGTGTTGCTATTGCGTGCAACAGATGGCACTGTTTAAATAAAAACAAGCGTGTTTTTACCTGTCAAAGGTGTGGCATCTATATAGTAGGTATATAAAAGCACGCGCTTATTCAAATAGAAAGTTGTGTCAAAATTTCAAAGCAATCGGTGAAGAACTTTCGGAGATTACAGTGTGTGTTGCTCATACGTCCAACAGATGGCGCTGTTTAAAAAAGACATGTTTTTTCCTCTTACTGGTAAGGCATGTATAAAGTTGGTTTATAGAAAACACGCGCCTATTCGAATGCAACAAATTTCAAAGCAATAGGTACAGAGGTTTCAAAGATTTCCCTCACACGAAAAACACAGTATAAAAAAAAAAAAATCCGTCACAGACGTAAAATATATATAGTATGTATATAAAAACCTGCTCGGATGCGAATGGAACATTGTGTGAAAATTTCAAAGCAATCGGTGAAGAACTTTCGGAGCAAATTTTGAACAAATGAACATTTCCCTTTTTATTTCTATAGATGACGGGGTAGCGAGTCTACTGGACAGAACAAAACAACTTGCCAACATACAAATCTGGAACATCGACAGCTGGATATTTGTAATTATTAAAGAACAAATGTCACAGAGAGGCGGATTATTGGCAGGCATTTAGAATTCAATTAAAGTTAAACGATTTTATGAGGTGTGTGTTAGGAGAGGTTTTGGGCAAGGATAGTCCCAGACTCTGATGGTGTAGAATGCTCACATTACGGAAATAAATACCATAGTCAGGGGCCTGACAGCTGAGTGGAGAGCGCTCGGGATTCGTAGTCTTTAGGTTCCGGGTTCGACCCCTGCTAAAGGCGAAACATATGGGCGGAGTTTCTTTCACCCTGATGCTTCTGTTCGCCTAGCAGTAAATAGGTGCCTGGTAGTTAGACAGCTGCTACGGGTTGCTTCCTGGGGTGTGTAACAAAAAGGATACCTAGAGGTCCGGGCCGCGGGGACGCTAAACCCCGAAATCACCTCAAGATAACCATGGTATATATTTGGTATGATTAGTTTATATTTGTTCTACTTTTAATTGTCTCATCATCTTACTCTTGTATATAAGTAAAAATGTAAATGTTCGTTTGTTCAAACCCGCTAATCTCCGAAAGTTCTTCATCGATTGCTTTGAAATTTTGCCACAACGTTCCATTTGCATCCGAGCGTGTTTTTATATACCTACTATATAGATGTCACGTCTGTGATGGGAAAAAAACATACTTTTTTAAAACTGTGTTTTTTCATGTGGTTTTCATGTGAGAGAAATCTTCGAAACCTTTATACCGATTGCTTTGAAATTTAGACACAACATTGCGTTCGAATAGGCGCGTGTTTTTATATACCAACTTTATACATGCCTCACCTGTGACAGGAAAAAAAACATGTTTTATGTTTATTTTAAGAGCGCCATCTGTTGGATGTAAGAGAACACACGCTGTAATCTCCGAAAGTTCTTCCCCGATTGCTTTGAAATTTTGACACAACATTTCACTCGAATATGCGGGTGTTTTTATATACCTACTATATAGATGTCACATCTGTGACAGCCAAAAACATGTTTATTTTGAAAAACAGTGCTCTCTGATGCACGTAATAGCAACACACTGTATTCTAAATATGTTACGATTCCATTTCGTTGTTTCCGATTGCATTGACAAATGGAATTTTCATAGATTTCGAATTTATTTTCATTTTGATTTAATTATTTTTCGTGACACTGCATTGGAATTGAGCTGTATTGTTTACCATACCGTTCATTTCGTGAGTGTAGTTTATTTTTTTCATTGTTTTTCATTTCTTTTTTTTAATTCTACTAATTAATTCAATATTCTAATTCTTAATTATTTTGTTCTACTTTTTTCAGTGATGGGAACATCAGATCATTTGAGAACGCATCGGACGAGGGAGAGGGGAATGGTGGGGAGGACTAGGGGATGGGAGTGGGGAATGGTGGGAGGACGAGGGGACGGGGGGTGGGGTAATGGTGGGGAGGAAGAGGGGACGGGGGAATGGAGAATGATGAGGAGGACAAGGGGACAGTGGAGTTGGGTATGGTGTGGAGGATGAGGGGACGGGGGAGAGGGGGAAATGGTGGGGAGGACAAGGGGGGTGGGGAAGGTTGCTGTGGCTGGGTATAGCAGTTTTGATATAAAAGTTGTCTTTGCAAATTATCATATCCCCAATGGTTAGCTAAATGTCACTCACTTTATGCCTAAAATGTAATTTCTGATTTAGATTGCTATACACCTGTTTAGTCCAGTCAGTGTTGTAATGAACTGTATAAGTCGTTACCAATTAAGTTTCTAACTGTATTATTGACAATGTGTACTTGTTGTGTTGTAACTGTGACTCTCTTATGTAATCAATGTACTGTATTTTTTATTCAAACTTTCCCAGTTATAAATATAATACAATATATGAATCAATTATTCAATTTGATTTTATTGATTGGTTAATATACTTCACTAAAGTTTATAGAGCTGACAGGTTTGACAGAGTTTACATATAGATGGATGGATAGGAGGATAGATTGATGGATTGACAGACTGATAGATAAATGGAGGGATAGATATATAGATGAGTGGATATATGGGGGAGATTGAAAGAGAGATAGATGGATGGATATACGGATAAATATAGATAGATAAAAAGCTGCATATATGGATGGATAGATGGATGAATAAATGAATAGATAAATGGGGTAAATAGATGCATTGTTGGATAGATGGACAGACATATGGAGAGATGGATAAACATTAGGATATGTGGATGGATAGATAGTTGGATAGAGAGATGGAGAAATAGATGGAAAGCTAGGATGGATTAATGTATGCATAAATAAATAGATGGAGGGATAGATAGATGGACAGATTAGAGACAAACCTGAACAATTCCAGGCACCCCCCCCCCTCAACCCTAGTATACATAAATATATACACATACACAAAACATATACATATATCAATAGTCATTATAAATCACACGTTGATCAAGAAGTTACCAACAAGGCTCAACTCGAGACAGTTTAGTTGTGCGGTTGGGCAGAGACTCAGTTACTGATCCCACACAGCCGCTCCCTGGCCGGCAGCAACACAGACACCAGCTTGCATTACCTGGGAAAAACAAACACCCGGCTAAGATTTCTGGAAGAACATCACTGTGAACACCACTAATGGAGCAGTCCGTCCTCCTAAGGTTTGCCAATGTCAAGAAAACTGTCAATTTAAAGTGGTCTCTCCTAATCTACTAGAGGAGCCAAAACAGAAAACGGGATAGTACGTCATTTTCGCGAGCTGCTTCTATTTTCTAGTACGGCAAAGTTTGGCGTTATGTAACGCATACGAGTGAAAAGCGACGTTCTTTTAATAAGGACAGATTGGTTAGAGTTTTCTCTGAAATCCCTTATTTTTTCGTTTTCGATTATATAAAGATGCAAAGCCTGTGAAGAGTTCTGTTCATGGTTTACATTAAAAAAGTGTGCATCAGCAGGTAGTGTAAACTGTCAAAGGTACTCGTAGACTAAGCCTAGCAGTGGTAACATCTAGACGTCTGCTGACCTTACGGGATGACGCATAGACGTGCGGGCCTTCCTGCACAACACAAGGTGAGACACCCACAGACGTGCGGGCCTTCCTGGACAACACAAGGTGAGACACCCACATACGTGCTGGTCTTCCTGCACAACACAAGGTGAGACACCCACAGACGTGCTGGTCTTCCTGGACAACACAAGGTGAGACACCCACAGACGTGCGGGCCTTCCTGCACAACACAAGGTGAGACACCCACAGACGTGCGGGCCTTCCTGGACAACACAAGGTGAGACACCCACAGACGTGCGGGCCTTCCTGCACAACACAAGGTGAGACATGGGGGTAAATGATGTGAATTTCACTTTACCTCAAGTCGGGAAGATTTTGCTGCCGTTCCTGGATTATTGCTGTCTTGAGGCTCCTCAATGGCACTGGGAGAGGGTAATCAATTCCTTCTTCACGAGCCAATGTTTTGGCTAATTCACAGGAGACAAACTCTGACTCTATCATTTATTACTTCATTATATGTGTCTAGCTTCAGACACAAGCACGTCACAGTTATACCTTCGGGAGGTGAGGGCAGTCAACAATGACAAGGAGCCTCATGCAATTAACGTGTCGAGTTTGGATTCATGTACTCGTTCGAGTGCAAGGATGATGACAACCAACTCCGTTTCAACAGCGCAGGGCATAGTTTGCACAGATGACAACTGTCAACAGAGATGACATTCTGTTAACATAGATAATATTCTGTCAACAGAGAAGACATTCTGTCAACAGAAAGAACAACTGTCAACAGACATGGCATTCTGTCAATATAAGTTGACAGAAGCTGTCCCTGGTGAGTCTCTTATGACGTCTTGGTCCTTGATGAACCGTACGTGCCTCAGAGCCAGAGTGCACTCATGTACCTGTGCTGGCGAAGTGTTCGCTCTCACACACAGCCGAAGACTGAGCCACAGTCACTCCCAGTTGGACGAATTCCCCTTTTAACCCAAAAATTATTGTATTTAGTGAATGTGAGTCGTAGTTTACAGGCTGGCAGATAGTGACTGAGACTGGCAGATGGTGGGTGAGGCTGGCAGATGGTGGGTGAGGCTGGCAGATGGTGGGTGAGGCTGGCAGATGGTGGGTGAGGCTGGCAGATGGTGGGTGAGGCTGGCAGATGGTGGGTGAGGCTGGCAGATGGTGGGTGAGGCTGGCAGATGGTGGGTGAGGCTGGCAGATGGTGGGTGAGGCTGGCAGATGGTGGGTGAGGCTGGCAGATGGTGGGTGAGGCTGGCAGATGGTGGGTGAGGCTGGCAGATGGTGGGTGAGGCTGGCAGATGGTGGGTGAGGCTGGCAGATGGTGGGTGAGGCTGGCAGATAGTGACTGAGACTTGCAGATGGTGGGTGAGGCTGGCAGATGGTGGGTGAGGCTAGCAGATGGTGGGTGAGGCTGGCAGATGGTGGGTGAGGCTAGCAGATGGTGGGTGAGGCTGGCAGATGGTGGGTGAGGCTGGCAGATGGTGGGTGAGGCTGGCAGATGGTGGGTGAGGCTGGCAGATGGTGGGTGAGGCTGGCAGATGGTGGGTGAGGCTGGCAGATGGTGGGTGAGGCTGGCAGATGGTGGGTGAGACTGGCAGATGGTGGGTGAGGCTGGCAGATGGTGGGTGAGGCTGGCAGATGGTGGGTGAGGCTGGCAGATGGTGGGTGAGGCTGGCAGATGGTGGGTGAGACTGGCAGATGGTGGGTGAGGCTGGCAGATGGTGGGTGAGGCTGGCAGATGGTGGGTGAGGCTGGCAGATGGTGGATGAGGCTGGCAGATGGTGGGTGAGGCTGGCAGATGGTGGGTGAGGCTGGCAGATGGTGGGTGAGGCTGGCACATGCTGGGTGAGGTTGGCAGATGGTGGGTGAGGCTGGCAGATGGTGGGTGAGGCTGGCAGATGGTGGGTGAGGCTGACAGATGGTGGGTGAGGCTGGCAGATGGTGGGTGAGGTTGGCAGATGGTGGGTGAGACTGGCAGATGGTGGGTGAGGCTGGCAGATGGTGGGTGAGGCTGGCAGATGGTGGGTGAGACTGGCAGATGGTGGGTGAGGCTGGCAGATGGTGGGTGAGGCTGGCAGATGGTGGGTGAGGCTGGCAGATGGTGGGTGAGGCTGGCAGATGGTGGGTGAGGCTGGCAGATGGTGGGTGAGGCTGGCTGATGGTGGGTGAGGCTGGCCGATGGTGGGTGAGGCTGGCAGATGGTGGGTGAGGCTGGCAGATGGTGGGTGAGGCTGGCAGATGGTGGGTGAGGCTGGCAGATGGTGGGTGAGGTTAGCAGATGGTGGGTGAGGCTGGCAGATGGTGGGTGAGGCTGGCAGATGGTGGGTGAGGCTGGCAGATGGTGGGTGAGGCTGGCAGATGGTAGGTGAGGCTGGCAGATGGTGGGTGAGGCTGGCAGATGGTGGGTGAGGCTGGCAGATGGTGGGTGAGGCTGGCAGATGGTGGGTGAGGCTGGCAGATGGTGGGTGAGGCTGGCAGATGGTGGATGAGGCTGGCAGATGGTGGGTGAGGCTGGCAGATGGTGGGTGAGGCTGGCAGATGGTGGGTGAGGTTAGCAGATGGTGGGTGAGGCTGGCAGATGGTGGGTGAGGCTGGCAGATGGTGGGTGAGGCTGGCAGATGGTGGGTGAGGCTGGCAGATGGTAGGTGAGGCTGGCAGATGGTGGGTGAGGCTGGCAGATGGTGGGTGAGGCTGGCAGATGGTGGGTGAGGCTGGCAGATGGTGGGTGAGGCGCGCAGGACACAAGAGTCCTCCCCAAGAGAGGAATAATTTCCTTATTATGACCACCCAATAGTTCAGTTGATAGAGCTTCGACCTCACATGCTTGGGGACCAGGGTTCGAGTCTCCTAGAGCCCAGGTGAATGCATAATGGTGCTGCACCATCTTGCTCAGAATCACGGCGACATCACATGCTATTTCAATTCTGATACGAGAACCGGTTCGGTTCCCGCTGACTTTACAGGGCCATCGCCGCCGAAGCGACTGTAACAGCCGCGAAATACGACCGATATTTTGACGCAGAACTGCACCCGTTTGTCAGTAAGGTGAGCTGGGGACGTGGTACAATATGTAGAGTTGGTACAATATGTAGAGTTGGTACAATATGTAGAGTTGGTACAATATGTAGAGTTGGTACAATATGTAGAGTTGGTACAATATATAGTGTTGGCACAATATGTAGAGTTGTTACAATATGTAGAGTTGGTACAGTATGTAGAGTTGGTACAATATGTAGAGTTGGTACAATATGTAGAGTTGGTACAATATGTAGAGTTGGTACAGTATGTAGAGTTGGTACAATATGTAGAGTTGGCACAATATGTAGAGTTTTTGAATCATATTACCACCACACAACTACTGAGGACACTGGAGGGCTGGGTGAGGGGAGACTGGTGGAACACTGGAGGCTGGGTGAGGGGAGACTGGTGGAACACTGGTGGCTGGGTGAGGGGAGACTGGTGGAACACTCGTGGCTGGGTGAGGGGAGACTGGTGGAACACTGGAGGCTGGGTGAGGGGAGACTGGTAGAACACTCGTGGCTGGGTGAGGGGAGACTGGTGGAACACTGGTGGCTGGGTGAGGGGAGACTGGTGGAACACTGGAGGCTGGGTGAGGGGAGACTAATGGAACACTGGAGGCTGGGTGAGGGGAGACAGGTGGAACACTGGAGGCTGGGTGAGGGGAAACTGGTGGAACACTGGAGGCTGGGTGAGGGGAGACTGGTGGAACACTGGAGGCTGGGTGAGGGGAGACTGGTGGAACACTGGAGGCTGGGTGAGGGGAGTCTGGTGGAACACTGGAGGCTGGGTGAGGGGAGACTGGTGGAACACTGGAGGCTGGGTGAGGGGAGACTGGTGGAACACTGGAGGCTGGGTGAGGGGAGACTGGTGGAACACTGGAGGCTGGGTGACGGGAGACTGGTGGAACACTGGAGGCTGGGTGAGGGGAGACTGGTGGAACACTGGAGGGCTGGGTGAGGGGAGACTGGTGGAACACTGGAGGCTGGGTGACGGGAGACTGGTGGAACACTGGAGGCTGGGTGAGGGGAGACTGGTGGAACACTGGAGGCTGGGTGACGGGAGACTGGTGGAACACTGGTGGCTGGGTGAGGGGAGACTGGTGGAACACTGGAGGCTGGGTGAGGGGAGACTGGTGGAACACTGGAGGCTGGGTGAGGGGAGATTGGTGGAACACTGGAGGCTGGGTGAGGGGAGACTGGTGGAACACTGGAGGCTGGGTGAGGGGAGACTGGACGAACATTGGAGGCTGGGTGAGGGGAGACTGGTGGAACACTGGAGGCTGGGTGACGGGAGACTGGTGGAACACTGGTGGCTGGGTGAGGGGAGACTGGTGGAACACTGGAGGCTGGGTGAGGGGAGACTGGTGGAACACTGGTGGCTGGGTGAGGGGAGACTGGTGGAACACTGGAGGCTGGGTGAGGGGAGACTGGTGGAACACTGGAGGCTGGGTGAGGGGAGACTGGTGGAACACTGGAGGCTGGGTGAGGGGAGACTGGAGGAACACTGGAGGCTGGGTGAGGGGAGACTGGTGGAACACTGGAGGCTGGGTGAGGGGAGACTGGTGGAACACTGGAGGCTGGGTGAGGGGAGACTGGTGGAACACTGGAGGCTGGGTGACGGGAGACTGGTGGAACACTCGTGGCTGGGTGAGGGGAGACTGGTGGAACACTGGAGGCTGGGTGAGGGGGAGACTGGTTTAACACTGGAGGCTGGGTGACGGGAGACTGGTGGAACACTCGTGGCTGGGTGAGGGGAGACTGGTGGAACACTGGAGGCTGGGTGAGGGGAGACTGGTGGAACACTGGAGGCTGGGTGAAGGGAGACTGGTGGAACACTGGAGGCTGGGTGAGGGGAGACTGGTGGAACACTGGAGGCTGGGTGAGGGGAGACTGGTGGAACACTGGAGGCTGGGTGAGGGGAGACTGGTGGAACACTGGAGGCTGGGTGAGGGGAGACTGGTGGAACACTGGAGGCTGGGTGAGGGGAGACTGGAGGAACACTGGAGGCTGGGTGAGGGGAGACTGGTGGAACACTGGAGGCTGGGTGAAGGGAGACTGGTGGAACACTGGAGGCTGGGTGAGGGGAGACTGGTGGAACACTGGAGGCTGGGTGAGGGGAGACTGGTGGAACACTGGAGGCTGGGTGACGGGAGACTGGTGGAACACTCGTGGCTGGGTGAGGGGAGACTGGTGGAACACTGGAGGCTGGGTGAGGGGAGACTGGTTTAACACTGGAGGCTGGGTGACGGGAGACTAGTGGAACACTCGTGGCTGGGTGAGGGGAGACTGGTGGAACACTGGAGGCTGGGTGAGGGGAGACTGGTGGAACACTGGAGGCTGGGTGAGGGGAGACTGGTGGAACACTGGAGGCTGGGGGAGGGGAGACTGGAGGAACACTGGAGGCTGGACCAGTACATCAGCTCCAGGAAGCGACTCAAGACATTGGGTGGAGTCGACCAAAGT